TCTTTCTGATTTTGAGTTCAGCAGATTGCTAAGACACAAGAGCAAAGATCAGCCTCAAGACAAACTGCATTGAACTGCGTTTCATAAAAATTAAAAAAAAATTGGATATAGGGGGCTAAAAGCATTTCTTACTCCTCCAGAGATTTAGGTTTGGTTTCCAGCACCCACGTGGTGATTCACAACTATGATTACCCAAGCTATAGGTGTGATACCCTCTTCTGACCTCCACAGGCACCAAACATGAGCTTGGTACAATACATATATGCAGGCAAAACATCCATACAGGCACAGTTCACATAAAGTAAAATAAATTATTATTATTATTATTATTATTATTATTATTTTGGTTTTTTTGAGACAGGGATTTCTCTGTGTTGCCTTTGGTTTCTGGAACTCATTTTTTAGATCAGGCTGGCCTCGAACTCACGGAGTCAATTATTCTTTCAAAATACTAAAAAATTTTGTTCTTCGGAAGACACTGTTAGGGCCAGGGAGAGGATCAGTGGGTAAAACAAAAACCTTGAATGTTTTTTTAAAGATGGTTCATAGATGACCGTTAGTCTACTGAGCAGGTGACAGGAAGTCACCAGGAAAATGCAATACCAGACCACAGTGAGATGCCGCTCTTTGTGTGTTAGAGCAAGGAGAAATGACGATGTCGATGAAGGACTGAGTGGCAGGGGCCTGTGTGCAGCCAGGTGTGTAAATAGCCCAACGGTCTTGGGACAAGCTCGGCAATTTCTTTTGAACTGATGTGTACGGTGCCTGCTACGTGATACCTGGTATTCCATTCCAAGGTCTTTGCTGAGGGGGGGATGGAAGTTCTCCCTACAAAGACTTATAAAAGAATATTTACAACAAGTTTGTTTGCAATAATCCCAAACTGGAAACTAACCAAACGTCCCTGTTCCAACAAGTGAACTAATTGTAGAAACTCTATATGTTAGACTATTAATTAACAAACAAAATATGTTGACGATTAATATACACAGTTAAATATCAAACTGATCATGTTGGAAAAAACAGATATAAGAGCTAAGAAAGGAAACAGTGCACGGTTCTGTTCACACAGAGTGCAGATGGTGCAGCGATAGTCATGGCGACAGAAGGCAGATCACAGGTTGCTTGGGGTGGGGCAGGGCTGGAGAGAGGAGTTCATGCTGGATGGTGGATGCACTCATTCTCTTGGTGTCCTACTGGCTTCTATAGGTGCACGCATACTTTAGAAGTTTTCGATTTTATACTTTAAACGTGTGTTATTTATGCCAGCTACGGTTCAGCTGAGCTATGTAAGAGTATTACTTCTTCCTGAAGATGGTCAGTCATTAGAGTTCTGGGCGGATCATGAGTCACAGTTCTGGTTCACAATAAGGTTTAGTTTACTCCTGCCGGGAGGTTCTAGACACCGATGATCCCATTAGCATCCTTCCTTCTCATGCTCCCACACAGGAAACTCCCAATCCTCCAGTCATCCGCTCTCATCCAGCGCCCGCCCTGGTGATCCTTCACCGAGAGCAGGCTGCACCTGCCTACTCGGCCATCACCCACTGTCTCTGCAGTACCTGTTGACGTCCAGCTGGGCAGTGCTGCAGAAGGGAGACTCTGGGGACTCTAGCACTGGGCTTGCGCTAGATTCAACCTGTTCTTGTTTGAACCTCTCAAAAGAGGTCATTGCATCAAAACTGAGGTTCACCCCAAGTCTTGAGTGACAGGAATGTTTGTGACTATACAGAAAGCGATCCTAACTTTAAAATTATATATAGCCTGATCGCAACCATGTAAGAAACCTATTGGGGAAAAACTATGAAATCATAGGCATTTAACTGCAAATATGGTTGAGTTCAATTTTCCTTTTTAAAGATGAAAATTATTAAAGAGCAGTTTAGATTTATAGCAAAACTAGGAGAAGGTACAGAGATTTAGTTCATACACCCTGTAGACAATTTGGTACATAGCTACCTCCATGATCAACATGCCACGAAGAGTTCTGCATTTGTCATAACAGTGGTCCTGCCTCGACCTGTCATTATCACCCACAGCCCACGGTAGCAGTCACTCTTGGAATGGTGTATCCCATGGGTCTGAACAAAGGATTTGGACACATGTCCCTCACTGTGATGTAGTGAGGAAGGATCTCACCACCGAGTATACTACTTTTATAACTGGAAAGGCGGAAAAAGCAGGGTATTTCCTTTAGAGATTCAACATTGTGGGTTCCTGAAAAATCTCAACAGATTGAGAAACCAAACAAAACCCCAAGAACCAGAACTCTTCCTTTTCGTATTGTGAACTGGCACCATGACAGGGACTCCGGAGGACTTGGAGTCAATGCCTGCACTCTGCGCAATGACTCTTTCTTCTGCCTTGCTCTGGGAAGCAATGACTTGAGATGGGCTGGGCTACATCTGAGAACAGAAAGGTGTGATTGGTGGAGGCTATGTCAGTCAGGATCTAGCATTTTATGGCGTCTACTTGGACAAGAAAAGTCTAGGGTTTTCCAGAGATGGCCAGATTGCAAGTGAGCCCAGGGCTTGCCTATTGAAGGAAGGGGTTCTCTGTGAAGCTTCTGCCTGGTCCTAATTCTTATTTTTATTTATTTATTTATTTATTTAATTTATTATTATTTTGTAAACAGGGGCATTAATTAAGCCATCTATTGAAGGGAACCTAGCAGGAAATGGATTACTTTTTAAATCTTCAGTTGAAAAAAAAAACTCGCTGAATCGCACTTCAGATAATTGCCTTTTCATGGTTTAGCCCATAGGGCTTGATGTTTTCCTTTACCGTAAGCAGATGAACAGCGCATGGCAAGTCACCGAGAATCAGAATGATAGGGTTACTGTGAGTGAGCCGGGAATGTCCATCTCCACTATGTCACTGTCCAGCTGCCCTCAGATCACATGACCTCCCTTCTGTGTGTTCTTGGATACTGTCTCCTCATCCATTGAAGCAAACCCTGTTAGATTGTTTTGGGCCTTAGGGCATGAAATGCAACCTGAAGATTTCTCTGGACATGCCCAGTGCCTGGGTAAAAGAAGTTGGGGCAGTGGCAGCATGCCTCCTTGTTGGAAGTTTAAAAACCTTCTCCTTCCTTCTTGCTGGGCGGATGCTTTGTGCCAGGATTTGATCATCTGTCACTCTGTGTAAGATGTAAGACTCGCTTGTGCATTCAGTTCATCTCCCCGCCGGGCCCTGGACTAGCATAGCTGATGGGGGCCAGCAGGAGTGAATGAGACAACTTTGAGTTGTCTTTCCCTATGGCTATCACTGAAGGCACCAGGAAGGCCCGGTTCCCTTCCTGCTTGCTCTTTGCAGCGCCACGAGCTGCCTCCGTAGCCTTCTCTTTCCAGAGTATGTTCTGAGTTCCGTGTGTAGGGTTACTTTTCTCTTCTCCCTCTGGTCTCACCCTCTTTTCTCCTGCCTCCTAAAAAAAGATTGACTTTTATTATTTTCAATTATGTATAGTGTGTGTGTGGGGGGGGTGGGAGCTATGTGCTCATGAGTGTGTGTTCCTGTTCTGGCCTCTGATCCCTTAAAGCCAGGTTTCAGCCACCTGAGGAGGGGGGTGGAAGTGAACTCATGTCCCCTAGAAGATCAGCAAGTGCTCTTAACCTCTGTGGCCCCTCGCTTTTCTTTTTAGGTGGAGTCTCCGAGTGGCCTAGGCTGGCCTTGAACTCATGGGCTCAAGTGATCCTCTCACCTCCACTTCCTGAGAAGTTGGGACTACCAGCATATATAAACATCACAGCACCCAGCTCCATAGTGAATTTCAAAACAACACGACAAACCCCAACTAACTGACTTACCAATGCTTCTACCAAACACTGAAAGCCCTATACTGGTTCTGGCTTCTCTCTTGGTACAGGAACAGAGAGAGATCAGGATTATAGCTAATATCCACGTGAAGAGGCTTTCCTCCCAGGCTCCGCTGAAACTGTCTCTGGTCTCTTTCAGCTGTCCTACCTTGTAGCTACTTCATCTGACACACATTTAAAAATACGATGGAACCGCAGTCTTTCTCCTCAGTGTTCCTCCCAAGAGCTGGACTTCATGCTTGTGTGTGTATAAACTGTCTCAACAGTACGATCCTGTACAGCAAACAGGATCCGAGCCTTTGCATTTGAAACCTTAGGATCACAGTGCATGGTCCCCAAATGACTTCCCATCGGAACAACACGCCAAGTTGGCCTGCCAGGAGACAGAAGCTGTGGCCTCAAGGATAGTCTGGCTGATTGTAATGATCTAAGTAGAGAACGTTCATCTAGGGTGGGGTTTACTCCTGATATTATTGTAGATTTACTGTGGGTCAGGAACTGTTCTGAGCCTTTGAACAGCTGCTAACTCGTTCAACCTGCATAACGATACTCACTATCCTCCCGCTTTACAGAGGGGACAGCAACACAGATATTGCTCAAACACTCTCACAGCTCTCTGCTAGATAGTGTCTGAGCTGGGAATGCAGTCCAGATTCTTAGCCAATATGTTCTATCTCTTGATCTAGTTAAGATGGGGAGTGACCAGGACATTTTTATTGGACATGAAAGTAAATGTCACGGATGGTGAGTGTTACCTCTTCCAGTACCTGGGTTTGTCAATCACATAGAGAAAGGCTTCTCACTGATAAACGTGTCAGGGAAGATTCCAGATCTGCTGTACGAGAGGCGGGTCAACAGACCATATGTGCTACAGCAGCTCCATCAGGAACTAACTAAAATGGCACTTTTGCGAGGAGCGACCTACCCGGCACCTTCGCTACCTCATTCTGTACAGAAAGAGAGAAGGAAATTGAGGTTGCACAGGTCTGGATTGTATCCCTAGCCCCACAACGGTTTCCTTGGCTCCTTTGTGTATAAATCTGAAGGTCAGAGGAAAATGAAGTAAGCAGGTACCTAAAAACCAGATCTTCAAAACCAGTTTCCTCTGGCATCTTTTGGTAATTATTAGAAACTCTCCAACTTGTTAAAAAATCGACACAGATATTTCTGTTTTAAAATTAAAATTTAATTTAATTTTATATGTATGGACATTTTTAATGCATGTATGTCTGTGTACCACTTGCATGCCTGGTGCCTATGGAGGCAAGAAGAGGGCATCTGAAAGTCACAGACCATTGTGAGCTGCTACCTGGGCCCTGGGATTCCCACCTGAGTCCTTTGCAAGAGCAGCCAGTGCTCTTGACTGCTGGGGCATCGCTCCAGGCCCTCATGAGCGTTGTTTGTTGGCCCAGCAGGACATACTCTTACACACTTGCCCTACCCACTCCAGCTGCCCATTGGTAGAGATAAAATAAGTTATACTTCTGCCTGAGGGCCAGGTCTTGGCACTCAGACTCCCACCCACTCCCATGCTCCCTGTGAAGGCTCCTCCTCATCTCTAGCAGCAACTTGTCAGAAGTGAACATCTGGCAACCTGTCTCCAGCCTTGACCTGTTCTGTTCCGGGACCAGGGAGGTGAGAACCTTCAGTGAGCCTTAGAATCCCTCCACTGTGTGGGTAAAAAGCCAGCTGGCCATCTTGTTCCTCCTCCTCTGTGGTGGTTTGAGTAGGAATGGCTCCATAGAATCACAGGAGTGGCACTATGCGGAGGTGTGGTCTTGTTGGAGGAAGTGTATTGCTGTGGGGGTGGACTTTGAGGTTTCATATGCTCAAGCTACACTCAATGTGGGATGCAGTCTTCTGCTGCCTGCGGATCAAGATGTAGAACTCCCAGTTCCTTCTTTATAGTGGCATTTCAATTGTCTTTTAATAAATAAAGGCTGCCTGAACATCTGAGAGTAAAACAGTCCCACTGGTCAGCCTTACAGACCAGGTTATGGTAACACACCTTTAATCCCAGTAACCACAATGACATGCACCTGTAATCCCAGGAGCCACACTAGTTGCCACAGAAAACAGGTGGTGCATGCTTTTAATCACAGTGGAGCATGCCTTTAATCCCAATCCTAGAAAAGATTATAAAATGGGAGGGAGAGAGCTCTCAACATACAGACTCATTCTGATCTGAGGCAGGATTGTCATTTCAGACTGAGGTTGAGGTCAGAGCCAGTTGCTGGCTGTTTTGCTTTTCAGATCTTCAGGTTGAACCCTGTTACTGACCCTGAGTTTTTATTAACCATGCTTCACTTGTTCTGCACCTTCTGCCTGCATGCTGCCTTGCTTCTCACTATGATGATTGTGGACTATATAAGCCAGCCCCAATTAAATGTTTTCCTTTATAAGAGCTGCCGCCGCCATGGTGTCTCTACACAGCAATAGGCACCCTAACTAAGACACCCCCCAAACCTCACGTCCCAATGTCTTACCAGTGTCAGGAGCGCAGGCCTCATCTGCTTTGGCAGCGTTATCTGCATTACAATCTAGGGAAGAAGAAGAAGACATAAAGACCAGTTCATGCTTTCCAGACCCTTAGGGGGCATGTAGGGGACCATCCCAGGGGCTCTGGTTCAGGGAGGTTGTGTTTGTGTCCTACACTAATTCTCAGCTTGGCTCATGCTCTCTGAAACTCCATTAAGACAGTGGCCATGACTTCCCCTCCTCTGACAGTCCCTGGTTAGTTCTAGCTGGGACTTGTGCTGAATGTCTCTAACCATGGACAAAAGCCTTCTTGGGAGGCTCTTATTTTTTCTACCATGTGTTAGTTTGTGTTCCCCTTTTGACCCATCCTATCCTCTGACTCTGAGTGATAGATTCACCCCCTTTTTATTCCACTTGCCGAAGGACTAACCAGACAGAGGCTCTGAGGGTCTAAAAGGGAGGAGTCCCTGACCCTTGGTCTCCCTCCCACTTCCTAGGCTCAGGTTCCCGGCTAGTGTGCTGCCTATGCCTGTGGGCCAGGGGTTACAGATGCTCAGCATCCTCCCATCTTGGGGAAAGCTGGTCCTTGTACCTGATACATTGGGCTCACTACTGCTGGCCCCCTCCTTTGGGTGGTCAGGTGTCTCCTGTCTGGGCTTCTGGCTGAAGGCCAGGAAGAGGTGTGTACTCAGTGGCAGAGGAAGGTCCACTTCCAGGTATGCCCTCATGAACAGCTTGAAGACATCATAGCTAATGGGCTGAGAAGGGCAAGAAGAGAGAAGTCAATAGAGGGAGGGAAGGGAACAGGATGGAGGAGGAAAGGGACGAGGGCGATGGCGTGTGAGCCACGGAAGTGAAGGAGTAGGTGGGGGGCAGGAATGAAAACTCCAGGAGACAGAGGGACAGGGGAAGGGATGGGACACAGACAGAGGTAACATGGTGGCTGACCACCAGGCACGAAGAAGGCCTGGTTTGGTCTCAATTGGGATTAAAATGAGGGGTGATATACTCCCCAGGCTCAGAGACTGCTATGAACGAAGGGGTAAACAGATGGTAAGGGTGGACCCGAGTGCAACAACGCTTTTCAGATGTTTCAGGACTGCTACCCTCATTCTCTCAGCAGCTGGGGTCACCTGCACAAGCCCCGGAGCGGATCAAGCCAGTTAGCGCTCCACCATGGAGAGGAGGTGGACTTAGGCATCCTCCCAGCTAACGGAGGAGTGATGGAGAGTTATCGACTTGTGGGAAAGAGTAAAGTCTCATCAAGGGTGTGGTCCCTGGTAGGTTTACCATGCTTCAGTGGATGGTCCTACACACATGCGTATGTGGGCAGCAAAGCTGGGCTTGGTGGGTCATCAATGAGAAGAGGCTACTGAGGCTGGAAAGGGGTGAGAGGGGCAGGTGCTGAATACATTGAAGGCGCATTGTGTGTAAGTATGGCTTTCTCAAAGGAATCCCAATAGCATGTCTAAAAAGTGGGGTTCACAAATGGAGAGCGCCGGGAATCTATCTGCCTTTGCCTAGGCTCATGTGAAGGTCATGGGTCTATGGAGCAAGGACTCTGTCACTGCTTTGAAATTCTGGTGACGATGAAGAAGAATGCAGAAGAAAATAGCATGGAAAGAAAGGTTCTAACACCTCTGTGATTCTTGAGTTCAGGCCTCGGAAGTAGGAGAGGTTGGGGAAGGAAGGCCAGGTTCCATCACCCCACAGTGTTTTCATAATGTTCACCTTCTCTAGACAGATCCCAAGATGAGAAGGAATTGTGTGTGTTTGGCTCAGCTGTGTCCCAAAACATGCTATTGTGAAGGCTTTAGCCATCCAGAAAAACAGGAAGCTAAGGACAGAAGATCCTGTCCCTGTTGCGACCATCTCGATACTGCCTGGCATCTGGGTCCCTGGCTTCGAGTAGCCATGCCAGAGAGAGCCGCAGCCCTCAGCAAGCACTCACTAACAACAATGACAGTTTGCTGTGAGTCATCCCTGGCTTGTGCTCTCATCCCTGGCGCTGGAGCTTCATCAAGTCACAGATACTCCTGGAAACCATTTGCAGAAGAAGCGCTGCCCCAACTGCTGCTGTGCTGGCCTTTGAATAACAACAGCCAGGACAATAGCATCCCTTTCTGGAAACCTCCTTGGTGCTCTCTGAAAAATGCTGATAAGCATGTAACCCCTTTCACGTTCTGGGAATTCAGCAAGCCTTCCTGGAATCAGGAGCTGACTTGAATGTGTAGAGTCAGGTGTGGGTTCCGCTGGGAACTCTCAACCAAAACTCTGCTACGTCCAGGGCTGTCCTAGGGATCTCTTTTGCACTGTGGAAGAAGCCTGATGCGGTTGGACACAGACCACTTACTTCCTCATTTATTTAATTTTCAGCTTAAAAGAACCCAGCCCACGGTTGATTGACATTTTTTTTTTTGTGCCCGCTATTCTGCTTTCTGTGTCCCTTTTCTGTCCCAAGTCTCTGATTCTCTTTCTGCCTCTCTCTGTCTCTGCAGTATCATTACCTCAGATTGTCTCTTCTGCTCTTTTCCTGGACACAGCGACAGAGTGATTTCATTCCCTTTCCAGCGTTACCCATGTGCCACCCTCCGTGCTCCTGCCCTCACTGTCTCTGATGGAGTCTTGCTTGTCTGCTACCTGTGAACACATTCCAAGGGAGTCTTCTCCTTCCCCTTTAATTTCTCCAAAGAGACCACACTGGCCTTCCTTTCCCCTTGACCTCCAGTCTGTTGGGGTTCCTACCTCTTGCTGTGGAGCCTGCTTCCATGGAGGTCTTAAGTGTATTTGTCTCTTTGGTAAGGTTCTCATCTCAGCTCCCTGGAGAATTTTCCCTTCTCTTCTTGAAGCTACTTTGCACGCTGAGATTTTATTTTGATGCTTCTTATTCCCTATTTTGGTTCAACTGAATCTTTGCTAATGACGTTGCAATTCTTTCTTTGATGTCGAAAGTTCCTTTGCCTTATCCTTTGCATGATTTTAACTGACAAGTACTGATTTATATGACAGTGTGACAGTTTTAAGCTAGCACCAGATGGAAACGATCAGAATGAAGTGTTTCTGAAAAAGAAGGTCTTAAAAAGAAAGTTTAATGGCAGGCTGTGGGGGTTCACACCTTTAATCCCAGCCCTTGGGAGGAAGACACAGCTGGGCTCAAGGCCAGCCTGGTCTACATAGTGAGTTCCAAGACAGCCAGGGCTACATAGAGAGACTCTGTCACCAAACCAAACAAAAGGTTTAGCTAAACAAATTAGCAGTGGGGAACAAACAGACAAAACAACAAAGCTTAAAGGTGACTGGAAAAGATCAGTTTGAGAAGTGCCAAGCCACCAGTATGAAGTCCCCAAAACCAACCACCAGGGAGATAACTAGTGTCTAGAAAAGCAGGGGGCTGATATGTCTGCATAAACTTATTTTTTATTTGGTTTCTAGCATGTAAAAATCTTTCTTTCTTTCTTTCTTCCTTTTTTGAGACAGAGTTTCTCTGTGTAGCCCTGACTGTCCTGGAACTCACTCTGTAGATCAGGCCGGCTTCGAACTCAGAGATCCACCTGCCTCTGTCTCCTGAGTGCTAGGATTAAAGGTGTGAACCATCACACCTAGCATTTTTCAAATGAAATTGTTTTTGTTTTTCTTTCTTCTTTGTTCTCCCATTGTCCCCCATTCTTCCTGTGTGTACTTCCACCCCCTCCTCTCATGTCACGTGACTCCTTTTGCTTTTCTCTACTGTCTTTCTCATCAGCTCTTTTTCCCCTCTCATGGTCTGCGATCATGTTTCATAGTCTAAACCAATCTAAAATCCCTTATTTCTATACAAACAAACACTTAAGTTTGGATTTGCGTATCAGAGGGACCGTGGAATTTGTCTTTGTGAGCTTGTGTTGCTTTACATAACATAATGTTTTCCAGGTCCATCCATTTTCCTACAGATTTCATAACATCATTTTTCTTTATAGTTGAGTAAGATTCTATTGTGCGCATATGCAACATTTTTATTACCATTCTTCTGTTGATGGACATCTAGGCTAGTCCTAGTCTCTGACTGTTATAAATAGTGTAACAACAAGCCTGGGTGTGGGAGTCCCTTTGTGTTATATATGGAGTCCTCTGGGGATACATACGGGAGTGGGCGTGACCATGCCACTCAGTCAGATCCCCACCCTTGGTCTCAGGCGTGGGACGCTCGTCCAGCTTCAGTGTTACCTTCAGCCAGAAGCTCTCGAAACCTCTCTGGCATCCTCTTTAGTTAGGATCCTAGTCCTAACTGCCATTTCTGCTAAAGCCAATGGCAATATCCCAAAGTCAGCTTTGACCCCTCAGTAACCTGGAAGTGGTTCTTCTCTCTTGGTTTTGCAGGACTAGTCCTTTTACAGCACCTAACACACCTCCTTTCTAGTTCCATTCCCTCTCGTACCATCATCACCAGAGTCTGACTTCAGTTTCATGTGATTTTTAGCTAGACCATTGCAATGCCTCTATTTCGTAATTTATAAAAAAAATATTTTATTTTCTGTGCATGAGTGTTTTGTCTGTGTGTACACATGTGCATTGCATGCATGCCTGGTACTTAGGGAGGTTATACGAAGGCATCGGACCTCCTGGAACTAGAGCTATGAGCTACAGATGGTTATGAATCGCCATGCGGAAACTGGGAATAAAACCTGGGTCTTCTGTAACAGCAAGTCTCTAAACTGCTGAGCCATCCCTCCAGCCCATACAACACCTCTTGAAGGCATTCTTGCTCCCGCTTCCTTCGGTCACTCCTCTCATCTGTTGTACCCAGCCTTGTCAGGCTGATTTTCCTGAAGCACAACCCTGAGAAGACTGATTTCCTACTTAAAAATTTTCCTTGGTGTCTAATTGCCCATGGGAGAGTTGAGAGCCGCTTGTGCACGACTGATCTCCTGTATTATACGAGATAACACACATACAGAAAAGAAACTCTAGTGAACCCCAGGGAATACAGATAGAAGCTTAAATATATATTATTAATATAGAAACAATGTTGCTACAGTCCAGTTAGTCAGCCTTATGTGCTTTCTGGGACCTTTGGGACTCAGAATCTTCTCTGTAATCCACTACAGCCTAGACGTGGAGCCACTTCAAACCCTCAGTCCATCTGCCATTTTTTCTTGTTATCTGTTAAGGCGCAACTATGCATCCTGTTCCCACAGCCCCCCTTTTCTTTCCTGAGCAAGCTCCATAGCCCACTGCTTTCTTCAGCTGTTAAAATCCTAGCTCTGCTTTTCTGCCTGAAACCCCTTGGAATTTCCTGCGCCTGGATCTCTCTAATCTGACTTGGTTCCTGCCGTGTGAAACCCGCGGATGCCGTTCTGGATAAAGACCGTAAGCTGCTACACATTCTCGGACTCCCTTCAGAGCTCCTGGGTGAGAATGAGAATGGCTCATTTCATTTCTGTCTCCTGAACCACTCTCCAAAATATTTCCTGATAGATATTCGAATAGCTGCTGACTTCCCTGCCAGTCCATCAAAGGGATGGCCTGCTGCGGTGCTGGTCACCAATGGATCACTCTGAGTCAGGCAGAGGCTCAGTGTTCAGCCTATACAGGCACAGGTGCTGGAATGACTGTAATATGTGGTCAGCAGTGCTGAGTGCCACAGGATGAGGACAGAATGTGAGACCTTAGGAAGAAATGATGACCGAATTCATGCCTATCCATTCATGATCTCACTCCCGCATCCTCTGGAAGATAGAATGGCCTAGAACCAACACGGAACACTCAAATCAGAAAATCCTCAGAGGGCCGGGCGATGGTGGTGCACGCCTTTAATCCCAGCACTCGGGAGGCAGAGGCAGGCGGATCTCTGTGAGTTCGAGACCAGCCTGGTCTACAGAGCTAGTTCCAGGACAGGCTCCAAAGCCACAGAGAAACCCTGTCTCGAAAAACCAAGAAAAAAAAAAAAAAAAGAAAATCCTCAGAGGACCTGGGCCTGCTTATGCTACTGGTGCTCAGGACATTCCATGACTTGTCCCTGCCCACTAGGGGTGGCATGAACCAGAAGCCGGATCTTTGGCATACTCATCTGTGACTGTTTCTGTCACAGGTCACTGGGCTGGTACAGTGCTCCCAGTCACTCCCTCCGAGCACCACAAGTTCAGGGGTCAAGAGAGACTGATCATGTGCTCCTCTGAAAGAGATATATAAGTTAGACAGTTCTGTACAAGCCCTGGCCGAGAACAGTGACTGCTTACCAGATGTTTAGTGCGTGACTGAGTTAAGGAGGATTGGAGGATTATACCCAACTAGATGCCAGCCAGTAGGAGGCACACTGGGAAGAAACCATCACCTTCCTCAGACACCTTCATCATCCATGCTCTCTCTGGAGCCTGCAAACCCATGAAGCAACCTGCAGGTAATCGTTATTGCTGTAACCTGTTTCAGGAGGGCTTGCTAATTCTGCTCCAGGTCTAGAAGGGTGAAGGGAAGCTGGAGAAACTGCTGTGCCCCAGGCAGGAGGCAACGGTGGAGAATAGGGCACATGTCTTAAAAGCCTGATCCAGGTCATCGTGCATACGGCTGAGCTAGAACTTGTGCTCAGTGTATCTCCATGCTACCCAGCCACCCACCACCTTTTCTGTTCCGCTGGGCTTTCTTCACTCCCTAGCTGTCACTGCCGTTCTCTCCAGAGGATCACTTAGAGATGAAAGCAAGGGCATGTTTGGTCCATCGTATTCATCACGGCCAGAGCTGACCCTCTGCAAATTCCCCTCCTTCCTACTCCAGCTTCTAGATTCTCTAGGAACCTGCCCCTGCTGGCAGCTAACTCCTCGCTAAGACATTTTGGTGACAGGAAGCCGCCAAGCTCAAGAGAAACAAAACCCTTCTTGTTTCCCCAACCCCGTGCCATGACATTACACTTAGCAGAAGTCAGGCGAGCTGTGTGAGAGAGAGGCAGAGCTCCCCCAGGCTGCAGCAGGGCCAGGCATACAAAGAGAGGGGGTCAACCCTGAGGGGTGTGAAGGCGGCTGCACACTTAGGACAGACAGGCTCCCTGCTTCTGAAAGTGCCTCTCGGCCTTCACAGCAGTGGTGGCCCTGACCAAATTGTTCCCCTCCCACACATCAGCCCCCAGGCAGACAAGCTGATTACCAACCCCCTGCCAGCCCTTCATTCCCTGTTTTTGGAGTTGGAGGTGGGAGGTGTGGGGCAGTGTGTTCTTTGCTGCTCTGCACGGCTTCTCCTCAGGAATGCCCTTTGAAGTGGTGTGCTCCCCTCCGGTCTGCCAACCCCTCTCCCGTTCTTCCTCCCAGGGATTGGTGTTTTATCCCCAGCCCTTCTCAGGTGGACCTAGAGAACACAGTCTCTGTTGATTCTTCCTGGGAGCCAGTGGAGAAGGCCTTGGCGAGTGAATGGCAGCCTCTTCCTAACTTAGCTTTGCTGGGCTGCTACTTTTCTCTAGTAAGTCTTTGTAAAATGACCCAGGAGCAGGGGAAAGGGAGCAAGGGATATGGCATTGTGGGAAGGGGCATAGAAAGGAAATAATCACATGTCCTATAACGTATTCAATATTTTGTATTTTTTCTTTTAATTCATTCACTTCAAACTTTTAATAGTCTCAGTAGCTTCTGTCCACAGATGAGGGGACTAAGCCTCAAGGAAATATTGTACAAGCTCATACTGTGTGGTGATGGCGGAGGTTAAAGGCTAGCCCCAAACCACGTGACTCAAAGTCTGGCTGGGCACTGGAGACACAGCCCTGAGCAAATCTATTCTAGTGAGCGAGGCAGAGAATTAATGAAGTAAATTAGTTAGCCAGATAGATGGTGGGAAGTGCTGAGAAAAACAGAGCCGGGCCCCAGAAGGGGAAGTGTGAAAGAAGAAGGTGACAATCACCAGGGTGGCGGTTTGAGCATCAACCTGAAGGAGGTGAATGTCTCAGGCAGCTTTCTATTGCTGTGAAGAGACGCCATGATCATGACAACTCTTCCAAAGAGAAACAGTTCATTGTGGTGGCTGGCATACAGTGCAGAGACTCGGTTCAATGTCATCATGGTGGGACATGGTGACACGCAGGCAGACACTTGCTATAGAAGGATCTGAGAGTCCTACATCTCGCATACAGGCAACAGGAAGTGGTCTGAGGGTCTCCCTGAGTGAAGCTTAAGCAAAGGGGACTCAAAGCTCCCCCACCCTCCAGTGACACACCTCCTCCAACAAGGCTTTGCCTACTTCAACAAGGCCACACCTCCTAATAATACCACTCCCTTTGGGGGGCATTTTCCTTCAGACCACCACAGTGAGGGAACAAAGGACATGGATGTGCTAAAGGATGTCCCGGGAAAAGAAGAGCAAGCCAAGTGGTACCGGGAGATGTCTAAGAGCATCCAGGAGGCTACCATGACGGGAAGGACCGGAGAAGGGGAAGTCGGCAAAACTAAAGCTAGAGAGCAGAGGAAGTTAGATTGCCCTGAGTAGAGATGGGGTGGGGGCATGGGAGGGTGACAGCGTAAGCATATGTTTTAACAAACTGCCCAGGATCCGTGTGAAGAGTGAGCTTCAAAGGACAAGAGAATGGGCAGAGAGCCCAGTGAGGAGACTACAGTGGTCTGAGCAGGGTGCAGGAGTGATGAGTCAGGTCATGGAGGCAGGCGGGAAGCACCACGTGGATCTATCTGAACCATAGAAGTGGTGGGGTTTCCTGCTGAATTGCGTGGGGCAGCGAGAGCAAGAGATAAGTCAATGACAATTACCTACTCTTAGGTTAATCACCCAAGTTCTTAACCAGTCGCTCATCAAGTTGTCATGGATGGACTGATAGAGAAACATGTTTTACGGGGGGAAGATGAGGGTCATCAGTTTAGCTCAGAAGTTTGAGATGTCTCTTCAAGGGTAAAAATGTCAAGTTCAGGGGAAAGAGAAAAAAAAAATCTCCGGGTGCGGCGTTCTGAAACCAAATGAGGAAGATGAAGGAGATTTGACAAGTTGCCTCCAGCACCATTGAATAACATCACTATGGGGTTCAGGCACATGGTGTCTTCACTAGTGGTATCAGTGAAGGAACGGGAGTTACACACTGCTTGAAGGGTTCTGGAAAAAGCAGAAGAGAACATGGAGGTGTTGTATATAGACAAAGTGTAATAGCAGAGAACCAGCACCATTTGTGTTGCTGGGAAAAATCTAATGTGTATAGGCAGACTGATGTGGAAGACAGGAACAGGGAGAATGGGGGGAGGCTGGGAGGGGTCTTGATTCAGCAGCGCCTACCAGTAATCCACACACAGGAGGAAGAGGGGCAGACTGGGAGCACAGCCGGCTCACCCACAGTGGCCACAGTGGCCGGGGTAGGGGCACAGGAGCGAGGGACCCTGCCTCGGAGTTTTGCTTCTGTCTTCTCAGTGTTCACTGAGAATGAGGATCTGGGGAGGAGTGAGAGCAAAAGGGGTGTGATGGAGTCTTGTAGGACAGCGTAGGCGTGTGAAAGAACACGGGAGGTGGGGTGGGGAGGATGACGACACACAGATGGCATGGATGGCTCGCTTGAGACCTGGGGTGACACAGGTCTCAGAGCAAGGTCTTCAAGGCAAGTTGAGATGCCAGTGGGGAATGGCTAGGACACAGAATCTTTTTTTAAAAAGAGACTTGAAATGGAAATAGTCTTACCTTGTGTGTGTCGCATTGCTTGAGGCTTCCACCTTCATTAAATTCAGTCAGCACATCTTTTATTTTCTTGGAGGAATCTGGAGAGACAGTTCAAATGTAAAACACGGGTAGGTGGCTAATGAAGCCCAGGCTAGACAAATTCTATCTAACCAAGGTAAGATGGAGCAGCCCTTCAGGGCCACGTGAAGAGGCGTCCTGTCTCCCCTCACATCCTTCCACATTTCCCAGCCTTCTCTCTCTTTTGCTGTCGGAACTATCTTTATTTTAAAAAAAGATTTATTTTTTATTTTAACTGTGTGTGTGTGTGTGTGTGTGTGTGTGTGTGTGAGAGAGAGAGAGAGAGAGAGAGAGAGAGAGAGAGAGAGAGAGAGAGAGAGAGAGAGAGGAGAGATCCCCTGGAGCTACAGTTACAGGTGGTTGTGAGCTACTTGATGTGGGTGCTGGGGACGAATTCAGGTTTTTAGCCTCTACCCTTAGAGCCACCTCCCCAACTCTATGTCAAATAAACAAATGCAAACAGATCCCCTTTAAAACAACAACAAAGCAAATAAAAAGCCAGCCATAAGGCAGCTTTATTAGTCACATCCAGGGGGAAGAGCAGGCAAGGTTCTGCCCTTGGTGCTGAAACAGTGGTGTCTTCCGGCTCTGGGATCCTGACAGCTGGGTCCCCTTGTCTTTATTTTCCATCTTGATGGAAAGAATTAAGTTATTCATCCTGACACAAACAATTAACCTCAATTATGTCCTACAATTAACCTGGCTGGTTTAATAGTACAAGGCTGCTCTACTGTATTCTGACAGTGGGGACTTTCCCTGGAAATTGCATCTCTCTGACCTCTGCACTTCCTCCTCAATGCTCCCCTCAGGAGACATTTGCACCAAATGGGAAATAGATATTTAGGGGACTCAGAGGGGGCACGATGACTTAAAAATCGCGCTACCTATAGAAAATTGTTCAGAAGTGGCTGGAGAGATGGCTCAACACTTAAGGATACAGGCCACGTGCAGGCAAAACGCTCACACACATGAAACAAAAATCAGTCTTAAAAAAATATCCAGAAACACAGGGAAAACACGGCTTGCTGCTTCGTGGGAATTTTGTAAGAACTGAGAACAAAAAGACTTAGCAATTGTCACAGAAATGCGTCAAGTGTGCATGTGTGATTCAGCACAGTAGACCGCGAAGGAAACTAGTGTTTCTATGACCAGTGCTTCCCCTGCCTCCAGGAATTCTGGGTAATTAAAAGCTTCTTCAAGCTTCATTATTGCTTCTATTTAAACATCTGAGTGAAGATCCTTCACAGGCTGGGCTGTTCTCTGTGGTTTTGCTGACTAGAGTCTATCAAGCAGAAGTTATAATCATTGCAGGATTGAAGCGTTTTGAAATGCTATATGAAAATGCTGCTCTTGCCTAAAAATGGCAATTTCTTTCTGAAACCCAAAGCAGATGCTGCAAGGCTAATAGCTCAGTGAGCGCAAGGCAGCAGATGCCAACAATTTGGGTTGCTTCCTTTTAATTCAGAGAGCACGGTGTGGCTAGTACGATGTTGCAAGGCATAGCAGAAAGCCCTGGTCGGGGAGAGGGTTGAGTGGCCAGTGATGCCAACAGCTCCTAGTGGGGATATTTATCTGTGGATTCTCATTAACCTTAGTCTAGTAATTCTGTACAAATACGGGGATAATTCTTTCAGTCTACAAATGATGAAGTTAAAATTCATAAAAATGAAATGACTTTCTCAAGAGCAAGAGCTTTAAGGTATAGACCAGGTCAAAAGTCTGAGTTCTTTCCCTCATCATTTTTCACTATCGCTGAGCAAATAGTTGTGAGCACATGGTAACGTGTGATTGCTGTGGGGACAGGGATGGCACCGAATGAGCAAGGGATAACGTCAGTATGACACTGAGGTCCAGGTGACGGCTGTTTCTGGGCCTCACTGGGGTCTGAGAAGTAGGCCAGAGCTCAGTCATTCTCATATGCATATTTTAATTCTCATATGCAGTTGTATCACCTGGGGAGATCCTATATTTTATGATATGTTTCAGTGGCATGCTTTTTAGCTCAACTAAAGTGCCCAGACCTAAACAATGCAAGTCTGAAAAGTGGGTAGCCTAGTGTGCCTTCTGCAAGGGCAATATAAAGGTGGTATTTTGATTGGGACTCGAGGATTAATTTCAATGGGATGCATACTCTTTGGCAGTATTTCCATAGTTTACAAACTTCCAAGTTTACCTCAGCAGAAATACTTTGATCTCCAGTGTTACGGTTCTATTTCCAAATCCTTTTGTATACTTGAATGCAATACAGCCATACATGCCTACTTACCAAATTTCACACTTAATGAGATGTGAAACTTAAGAGAAAAATGAGAAAACTACCTAATATTCTTAATAAATAACCTAAAATTAAAGGAAAATAAACGTCTCCAACAACCGAAAGTATTTCTGACTAATTTCCCATCAGAGTATTCCTCCTCACCAATGAATTCAATTTGTCGCATGGGGGCTTGTTTAGTTAGCTTCCTAGTGCTGTGATAAAGACCATGACCATCAGCAGCTTGGAGAGAAAAGGGTTTATTAGTTGGCTTACACTGCCAGATCAGTCACACTTTACCACTAAAGGAAGTCGGGGCCAGATCTCAAGGCAGGAACTGATGTAGAGACCATGAAAGAATGCTGCTTACTCAGTTTGCTTTCTTCTAACACCCAGGAGCACCAGCCCAGGGATGGCACCACCCACAGTAGGCTGGGCCCTCCCACATCAATTATTAATCAAGTGTGCCCCACACACTTGTCTACAGGCCAATCTAATAGAGACATTTTTTCTCAGTTGAGGTTCCCTCTCTGGTAGATAATCCTAGCTTGTATCAGGTTGATATAAAATTAGCCAGGACAGGGCTTTTATAAACCGAGGGCAACAACACTTCTTAAAAACAGAAACAACGCAATTCTCAATTGTGGGGAACATTATTTTCTCTTGACATCCTCTGACACGTTCTGACTGCTTCCTCTCAGGAGATTTCTTCTTCTGAGAGGAAGGAGATGTTACAATGAGAGGCTCCTATGGGACAACCCTCACTTTATTTCAGTCATTATTGGGGGCTCAAGAGCGTAAGCTCAGCAGAGAACTCCCTTGTTGCACCCTGTGTCATGGTACCGTTGCAGACTCAGAGGATGTAAAGTTGCATTTCTCAGTGTAGAGAACAGTGTCACGTCTATCAGTCTGGCACACTTTTCATTCATTGTGAGCTGGTCAAATGATGTGCACTATCTCAATTGCTACATCTCTTCCAAATGCTCAGCACTACTGTCTGATGTAATACTTATCCTGATGTTAGAGAAGAGGACGCAGAAGTGGGTCCATACTCTATTTTCCATATACTTTTCCTTTCCTTTTTTCTTTTCTTTTTTTTTTTTTTTTAGATAGGGTTTCTCTGTGTAGCCCTAGTTGTCCTGGAACTCACTCTGTCAACCAGGTTGACCTCAAACTCACAGAGATCCACCTGCCTCTACCTCCTGAGTGCTGGGATTAAGGGTGTGTGTTACCATGCCTTTTCCTTTTTTAATATATCTGAGTAATTACATCATGGCTGTCAGCTTTACCCAGTAGATGAACACTAAGTCAGAAGATTGAACCTTTGAAACTCTAGAACTGTGGTTCTGAAGTCTGGCTGCATGTTAGCGTCAACTGGGCGACTCCCATCCGGACTAAAATCCGCTCTCAAACTCTATTAAGGCAACATCTATTGGGAGTCTCAGCAAATAAGACAATGGAAAGCTTTCTGGTGGATTAAAATGTGAGCTGTGCTGAGGATCACTGCTCTCCCATCTGGTTATATTCTTCCAAGCAAAGACTACCGAAGAAGTAGTTGCTCTTGTTGGATAATTATTTAAAATTAAAAAAAAAAAAGCTCACAACTGTGACGAGTCTGAAGTTAGTATGCCAGGTAATTTTCATTGTTTAAGTGACCAGTACCAAAGAACTTCATGCAACAGGTCAAATTATCCAGCTGTTTGGCAAAGCTGGGCATATATATATATATATATATATATATATATATAATATTATACAATATATATTGTATAAATGCAGATTGGCTGGACCACAAACAGACAGATCCTCTCCGAGTCAGGTGTGAGGAAGGCTCCCTGTTGGAAGGAGGCCGCTTGTTTGTTCTCGAATGCTCAGCCCAGAAATAACCACACAGAAACTGCATTAATTAAATCACTGCTTGGTCCATTAGCTCTAGCTTCTTATTGACTCTTACATATTAATTTAACCCATTTATATTAATCTGTGTATCGCCACATGACTGGCTTACAGGCTAAAATTCTGGTGTCTGTCTCTGGTGGGGCTCCACGGCTTCTTTCCTAAACTCAGCCTTCCTTCTCCCAGCATTCAGTTTAGTTTTCTCTACCTATCTACCCTATCAGGCCAATCCAGTTTCTTTATTTAACCAATGGTATTCATAGCATACAGAGGGGAATCCCACATCAACTCCCCTCAGTGAGAGGACACTAGCTGTTACAACTGCTCTAGAAAAACTCTTAATCCATGATTATCCCTTATGTTTTGTGAGCCAGGAACCCAAACTAAACATCTGTTCCTAGCACTTAAGAAAAATTAAAGCCTATTTATAAAAAAGGGAATGGGTTTTGTTCACAGAGCATTTGCCACATGGGTGTGGGGCAGGGATGCTCTCTGTGAGAGCACGCTGATCAATCAGAGACTTGTGTTGACAGCAGAACATCAGCCCCACCATCTGGATCAGAACTGCGAAGTTTATAGGCTATCTTCTAGTTGTGAACACAGTTGTTAAACTTGGAAGTGACCATGAATGATCACTTCAAAAGTCAATCTGAAAACTCATATACAGAAATGAAATTTGAAGGTGCCAAACTTCCCATTCCTCAGAGATCCCTAGGAGTTTCTTGAATTGTACTGAGCACAGGAATTGCCTGGGATCTGGGATAAATTTGGGTTCTCACCCTGTAGATCTGGACCAAGGCTCATGATGACAACAATTACAGTCATGTTGGATGATATCACTTTGGGTGAATAAGCCTCAAGCAATACTCC